GAATTTCTGGTGATGCTACTAACAGAATCTCAGCTGGACCGAACGATAGATGAAAGATATATCGTAGAATGATCAAAGATTGCTCCTTCCTCAATTCTCCTGTGAAGTTTATGAAATAGCTCTCTCTATTTTCTCTTATAGTGACTGATTTTCACACTCTGTTATCTTCAAAATGCTATTCACGCACGTTCAAAAGGCTGCTGAACATCTTGAATTGGGAACCCTAGCTTTCTTTATTGGGCTGGACTTGACTTTTAATTAAGTGGTTAAAGCCCAACTACAAAGACCAATGCCCTTTTTGGTGGCATCGGAAGCATGTGTCACTTTTCATTTAATTTGTACAGTGATGACGACGAAGGTGGTTTGAACAGGGATCTTTCAGACATTTTTCTCTGCTTCTCACTATTGAACAATTTTTACACACACCTTAAATATCAACAAAGCCTTATCTTTCCTATGACTAGCTGACATAGGCACTACTGTCACTACATGCACTCAATGTCTGCAACAAAGGATGCGACGACACATTTAATGACTTTTTCTCATACGCATGATGCGGCGACCAATTTGTGCCCTTGTCCCTTTTAAATTTTATTTATATATTATTTTTGAATTTTGTGAGGGAATATATTCCCTCTTTCCCTCGCAATTTGCGAAGGAATATATTCCCTCGCCATTTGCAAGGGAATTTGAGAGGGAATATATTTCCTCGCAATTTGCGAGGGAATTTACGAGGAAAATTATGAATTTTCAGTTGCAATTTTTTGTCCTAGATCTTGCAAGGGAACTTCCGTCGCCAATATTTTCCCTCGCTAGTTGCCGTCACAGACTTAAGATGTTTGCAAGGGATTTAAATTTCCCTCGCAAATTGCAATGGAAATGCCACCGGTATGCAACGGAATCTGCGACGGTGTTGTAGTAAAGGAAAATTCACCTATTTTTCGTCTCAATTGTATTTCCGTCGCAGTTTGCAAGGGGAATTTTCCCTCACAAATTTCCCTCGCTATTCGTGACTTTTCTAATAGCGCGAATCGACACCCGAAAGAGAGGGATTCCAAAGACTGTGCAGGTACACCCGAAAGAGAGGGATTCGAAAGACTGTGCAGGAATGAGACTGCACAATTGATGATAGGTTATAAGAATTAATTGGTACTACTTGTACTAACAAGATGCATCTACTTTTCGGTAGCCCATAGCGAAAGAACTTCATAGTTAAGCGTGTTTGACTTGGAGCAATTCTGGGATGGGTGACCTCCTAGGAAGTTTTCCCAGGAAGTGTGCGAGTGAGGATAAAACACGTTGAAAAGTCTCATGTTAGTGTGTGAGAATAGTCATTGATTCTTGAAGCGACCAGGCATTACACTTGAGATAAATCCAAAGGTAATGCCCGAGTATGATAGTCATATACCACCTCGGTTAAAATAAAACGGCAACATCTGGCTGCATTTTGGAGATTTGGGATGTTTCTTAATCTAATAAAATACCTGATTGACAATTTATACATGTTCAGGCATAATTCAACCTATCCACTAGAATTTGGAAAATTTGAACAACCCTAATTATTTATCACTAAGAATTGTTTCTAATGGTTCGATTACTTCTTGCTTACCTGCCTCCGCTATAATGACCCTCACACTAGTAATTGTGGATTTAATATTGAAGAATAATTAGAAGAAAAAGAAATAAAGTCACCTTTGGTGAAAAAGGAGTTAAAATGACATTTAAGTGGTAAAAATGAGGGTAAATAAAGTTACTCAAAAAGTGAAAGTAAAAATAGAAACGTGACTAGAAAAATATTCTAGTCTATTGGGTAAAGTTTGGTAATGATAGGAGGTGTGTAGATAGATGAGCTTATACCCGCTGGTATGATGAACTTATATAAGTGACTAAGGAGTCACTATTTTTCTTCGTTTTTTCGGCCGAGACAGAGAGACAGAAACGAAAAGGAAAGAAAATGGAGATTTTCATGGAAAATCTTCCAAAATTCATAACTTGAGCTAGAGACCTCCAAATCACTCCGTTCCAAAGTCAAACTTATGAGAAATTTAGAGAGGAATCCATTGGTACCAGTATTTCTGGCTGGGTTTCATTGTAGAGAGGGATCTTCTTCCCCAAAGATTTCGAATTTCATGAAAAAGATGGATTTTGATGGAGCTTGAGGCCATGGGAGCTTACAAACTCATCTCTCCTTTGTTCTAGAGTGCATTGTGGTAAGAAATTTCCCTTCCTTTTCATGTTTTTATGAAGATTGGATTTAGGTTTTCATTTTGAAAATTTGGTTTGATTGAGCATATTAGAGCTTGATTCAGGTTTAGCTCATGTTGAAAAAAGTGTTTAGATGAGAATTTTAACGGTAAAAATGTATTTGAAAAATTAAAGATACCGTATTTTTAAATAGTGTTGTATACATTAATAGTGACGTATACATGAATAGTATTGTAGAGATGAACAATACCGTATATATATGAATTAATGAATCTTGGATTAGAGGTGTGTGATAAGTTTGAATTTGATGGACTAAAGCATTGGAATCATGAAGTTGGCATGAATTCCTTTATGTGCCTCTTAGCCATTTACAAAGGAAGTATGTGCTATGAGTTACTGTTTTACAAATCGAGCATACTTTTATGCGTGGAATAATATGATTAAGTAAAAAGAAAATAAATAATAAAGTGTGTGTCTTGTATATTTACATGGCATTATATCATTTTATTGAGTTTTGTGTTGAATTCCTTCTCTAGGTGTACCTAGGGACTGTGAACGTTTGGACTCTCGTGGAGCATGATAAGTAGCTTGTTCTTCAAGTAAGCAAATTGTAAAGCTCAAAGAGGTAAGCTCTATGTTTATGGGGTTCGCTCCTACTTTGTGTTCCGCCATAGTGTACAGATTGTGGTCGGGTTGTATGATATGTATGAGATATATGATATAGATGCATTCATATAGAGCTATATGATAATATGATATGTTTTGTTTTGATGTGTTTACTTTGATATGTGTTAATATGATATGTTTTGTTGAGTTTCGCTTGGGGTCCACCCTTGGAAACACGTACACTGATTCCCACTTGGGGTCCTCCCCTGGGATTGACTATGTACACATTTGTTATATGACTTGTTCTGATATGATTTCTGTATTGATCTTTGGCTGGAATTGACTTGTATGGTACATTGATGTCTTTTTGGGTCCCCCTGAGATTGACGGTGTACGTCTCTGATATGTTCTGGTTCCGCTTGGGGTCCTCCCTTGGGAACACGTGCGTTGATTTTCGCTTGGGGCCCTCCCTTGGGAATGACTACGTACGCCTCTGATATGTTCTGGTTCCGCTTGGGGTCCTCCCTTAGGAACACGTGCGTTGATTTCCGCTTGGGGTCCTCCCTTGGGAATGACTGCGTACGCCTCTGATATGTTCTGGTTCCGCTTGGGGTCCTCCCTTGGGAACACGTGCGTTGATTTCCGCTTGGGGTTCTCCCTTGGGAATAACTGCGTACGTTTCTGATAAGATATGTGTATATGTTTTGTTTAGTTATGATAATTGATTATATGGCATGTTTTATGTGATATGTATGATGATTTTGTAAATGATATTTGTTATGTACGTTGATTTTCGCTTGGGGTCATCCCTTGGGAACGATTGCGTACGTCTCTGATATAACACGTTTTGTTCTGATGTGAGTATTGTGATGATTTTTGAAAATGATATTTGTTACGTACGTTGATTTCTGCTTGGGGTCATCCCTTGGGAATGACTACATATGTCTTTGATAAGATATGTATATATGCTTTGTACAGTTATGATAATTGCGTATATGATGTTTTGTATATTATGTATCTGACTGTCATGCAGGAAGTGAGCCTAGGGTATGGAGAGTTTTCCATAAACTTGGAGTTTACTAGATATTCGTCTCTAACCCCGTTTGGGGATATGATTTCAGGAACACAGTTAATTGAAGAGCCTCATGGGACAAGGACACAAACCGTGGCTAGAGGTACTAGTATGAGGATGTGGAGTTCTGGGTGGCTGGACGCTACTATTTATTTTAGACATATTTTTGGAAAAGATGTATTTTTGTATAGTGTTCATATTCGATGCATGTACATTTATGTATTCAGGCATATTGATATGACTATGTAGTATTCAGTTATGTTATGTATTGGATTGCATGCTATTAGATTAGTGGCACGGAGCCAAGTTCTGCATGCGCCCATAGATGGGTATCTGAGTATATTTGCATGACTGGTACTTCTGGATATATATATAGTTTAAACTGTCTATCAGGAACTCTTGAGAGTGGGATTGGAAAATCCCCAGTTGTCCGACTTACAGAGGTTACTCTGTCTGATTTTCGTTTACTCCTAATGAGAAAAAGAAAAAATTAGCTCGTATTTTCATAAGTTTAAGTCTTCCGTTGTTTTTGTTAAGTATCATATGTATGTTAATTGAACCGGCTCGAGGCTGGTGATGTTACATCCGCCTAATATTTTATCTTCTAATTTTTAATTGAAAGTATTTCTGGGATGCATTCAAGACAAACCCATTTTGTAATGTTGCCATCGATGCTTTCACACAATTTTCTTATTGACATTATATATCCAGCTTGGAAATATATTCCGAATAACAACGCACTTTAAATTAAATTTATAAAGTAGATATAGTATTATTTTAAATAAACTTTATTCTGTCTAATTAATCACAAGGATCTGAGAACACTATGAGATCTTAAAAAAAAAAAAAAATTATACATAAGCTAGTAGCGAATATTGATCCAAGGACGAAGGCATATGGAACCTTGCATGCATATGTTTTACAACGAAATAAGACCTGACAATCTGAGAGTGTTATACGTGACTTATAGTTGACTTGCTTTGTACTTCAAACCATGTGATAATCATAAATATCTTCCTTAAGCTTTGTCCCCAAACCTCGTGCTAGCTACTATATATAAATCTTCAATGATGATTCGTACTCTATCTCAACAAAATTTGCATCACCATTAATTGCCATGACTCATCACACAAATTACTTCATCTTTCTCTTTCTAGTTACCTTAAGCTTTTTCTTCGAAATTTCGAACGGTTCATTTATCAATGTGGTTAGCTATGGGGCTAAACCTGATGGAAAGTCCGACTCTACCATGCCCTTTCTTAGGGCATGGTCATCAGCATGCAAATCAAATGAAGCAGCCACAATTTACGTGCCCCAGGGAAGTTTTTTGTTAAAACAAGTGACATTTTGGGGTCCTTGCATGAACAAGATTCATTTTCGAATTGATGGCACTATTGTTGCACCTTCAGATTATTGGTCACTAGGTAATTCAGGATATTGGATCTTGTTCATGAAGCTTAACGGGCTTTCAATCTATGGAGGGACTCTCGATGGAAAGGGTGCTGGCTATTGGCATTGTAGAAAAGCTGGACAGAGTTGTACTGCTGGAGCAAGGGTATGTGTATCCATATTTGTATACTATATATGAAACTTTTTTTTTTTTTTTTTGGAAACAACTATATATATGAAACTTTAACCCATAGTATATACACCTTTTCTTTCTTTCTTTCTTTTTGTTTGTTGTGACTGCATGCTATGCCTCTCACTCTATGTTGGTGAGCAAGGAAAGGGAAAAGAAAATATTTAATAGTGTGAATGCTTACTTAAGATACAAGTGTCATTATTTTAGTGTTTTTTTTTTTTTTAAAGTGAAGGTCAATTTAGTCAGATGATTATGAAAAGTAATATTACCTCTTTTTTTGTATTACCAATTGTGATAATATTATATATAAAACTTTTGCTTTGAAAGATTAAATTGATTATTAATTTCTATGATATTGATTACTTTTAAGAAAATCAATTTAATATCTTTCTATAATTATGAAACTAAATTGATGTCAACTTTTTTTTAGACAATTTAATTATTGGCACATGCATATCGGGAAATGAGTATTTATTTAACATTAAATAAAAATAGAAAAGGGAGAATAACATGATTAGATGGGTACTTGTCTTCCATAGGAACTACAAGAACGTTGTTTTTAGTACAATTTATCAGCTCACTCTCTAATTTGGCGATATTTATTCTCTGTTCCATTCATCCCCCACCCCCAAATACTTATCGCGATCTTATCAACAATCTTTCCAACACCTACCTTCCGTAATGTGTTATTTTAGAAATTCAGATCCATAATTTTGGCTCTAATATCAAGTAGTATATCGGACACTTATCACTAGGCTAAAAATTAAGAGAGGAAGTTGATCTCACTGACAATTTTCTTTCTCTTCCTTGATTTGAAGAGTAATATAAAGGGTACGTGTGTGTGTCTCTCTATATATATATATATATATAGGGGCAGATTATAATTACAAACTTTTTTGTTTACAAACTACACTAAGTATGACCGGTCATACTTTAATCATACAGTGTACGACCGGTCGTACACTATATATATATATATATATATATATATATATAGGGTTCATCTAATCTCATGTTACATGAAAGAAGATACCTTATGTTGTAGATACATATGTTGTAGGACCCACTATTTTCAAAAAAGGAAAAAAAAGAAAAAAGAGTGTCACGATTTTCGATGGGTCTATAGGAGATAAACTACTCTTATGTTGCATAAGAGTAGTTTTTCCCATATATATATGGGGAAGGATATTGTGACAACCAAGTGGTGTTACTACCAAGTGACTACCAATCAATCTCACCGTTAGATCGATTATGTTGATCCAACGGTTATATTTATTTCCATCTTTGTATGGTCATGATTCCCCATATTTAAAGTGAAAGCATTAAATATGGGAAATCATAACCATACAAAGGTAAAAATAAATATAAAGTATTAAATTTGGGGAATCATGACCATACAAAGATGGAAATAAATATAATCGTTGGATCAATATAATCGATCTAACGGTAAGATTTATTGGTAGTCATTTGATAATAACATAACTTGGTTGTCACAATATCTTTTCCCTATATATATATATATATATATATATATATATATATATATATAACGAACACCAAAATAATGCACTATTGGGTAATTTATGCTGGAATATGCTTAGGGATTCTTTGTAATTATAGGTTGCTAATTATGAGATTTGATTTAACAATTTTTTAAACAAGAATTACTCTATATAAATTTGTAATGTTACCTCAATTATTATCTTCAAATACAGAATTACAATAGACACCATGACATAGTTAGCAGGTAATGCACTATTGGGTAATTTATGCTGGAATATGCTTAGGGATTCTTTGTAATTATAGGTTGCTAGTTATGAGATTTGATTTAACAATTTTTTAAACAAGAATTACTCTATATAAATTTGTAATGTTACCTCAATTATTATCTTCAAATACAGAATTACAATAGACACCATGACATAGTTAGCAGGTTGGGTAATATATACTTTTTTTTTTTTTTACCCTTTTAGGTCCTAACAAAAAAAAAATACGGTTCCCACTTTAGTCTCTTACAATAAAAAATTAATCGACTGGTCCCTATGAAATTTAAAGTGGACCCATTTTAATTCTTTTGAGGGACTAATATGGGTCTTTTTTGAATTTATGAAGGATCACAATTTCAACTAAATGGGTCCACTTTGAATTTCTTAGGGACCTCGAATCTATTTTTTTTTTGTAAGGGACTAAATTGGGAATATTTTTTTTGTTAGGGACCAAAAAAATATTTACTTTTTAAAAAAAAAACTGTTAATTAGTTATTGATAGTCCAGAGTGAAGAAAAGCATATGATATATGGTTAGAGTTGTGCACATGTTTAGATTCAACATTCCAAATTATGCAAGGATCGATATCGGGATCATGATGAGAGGAATTACTCAAGACAATAAAAAGAAAGAAGCATGAAAGCTAGTGATTATAGCCATGTTGAGGGTTAGTCCAAATAATTTGGGTATATCAAGATTTAAATAATAGTTTATGATAAGATTTCCCAAAATACAAAATAAGAAAAAATAAATAAGCAAGACCTTAATTTAGTAGAAATTAATTTGCTTATTTATTAGTATCTCTTATTTTGAATACTAGTAATTAATTTTGTGATCAAGTGCAGTCTATATCGTTCAGTTGGTCCAATAATGTGGTGGTTAGTGGATTAAAGTCATTGAATAGCCAAGCAATGCACATTGCCATTGACCATTGCAAAAACGTTCTGATCCAAAATGTGAAAATCAGAGCTCCCAGTGGAAGCCCCAACACAGATGGAATCAATGTGCAGTTTTCATCAGGAGTTACTATCAGCCATGCCATCATAATGACCGGTGATGATTGCATATCTATAAATCAGGGTACCACCAATTTGTGGATTGAGCACATTTCTTGTGGCCCAGGACATGGCATTAGGTAATTTTTTTCATTTCTTTTTCTTGTATAATAATAAAGACGATGCATGAATATTATAACCTTTCTTACTTCTATGAAAAAATCATGTGTAAGTACTTTAATTTCTCTTATATTGTTTTTGTTGTCTATATAGCATAGGGAGTTTGGGCACCTATTCGGACGAGGCTGGAGTTGAGAACGTGACAGTGTCCAATTCAGTGTTCACCAGAACAGAAAATGGTGTTAGGATAAAATCGTGGCCACAAGCAAGCAATGGATATGCAAGAGACATTGTGTTTAGGAACCTCATCATGCAAAATGCCCATAATCCCATCATTATTGATCAAAGATATTGCCCCGGCAAGGAATGTCCTCACCAAGTGAGTTCTCCAAATATCAACCAAAAATCACTTTTCTCGAGTTTTTCAAACAATCATCTCTATAGTAGAAATAAAAAACTTTTTATTTGATCAGAAGAAGTAATTTTTGCATTTGATTAGATGCATCCAAAGAGAAGCAAATAAAACTCTGAATTTGTGAATGAGTAGTGCTTTCCACCATCTTTGCAAATTATCCAAATGGGGATGGAAAGCAAAACCTTATATGTTTTAGGGGCGGTTAAACTTATCATCATTTTAGGCTTACTACTTGATTGATTATCGTTGGATTAATTTTAAATAAAACGGTTGAAAAAGAGAAAGAAATAACTGTCGTTGATTTAAAATTATTCCAACAACAACCATTCAGGTAATAAGAGTTATTGATAAGCCTAAAATATGGTAAGTATAACTTATTCCATGTTTTAAAAGTAAATAATGATCTATATAAAATGTTATAACATTCGTTTCTTGGGTTAAAAGAATAAAATACAATTCAAAACACAGAGTTCTGGCGTGGAGATAAGCAGAGTATCATATGAGCATATAAGGGGAACTTCAGCAAGCCCAGTAGCTATGAATTTTGATTGCAGCCAAAGCAACCCATGTTGGGGTATCAAACTGCAGGACATAAAGCTCATTAACAATAAGGGATCTCAAACATCATCTTGTACAAATGCTGGTGGAAGTAGCACTGGAGTGATCATCCCAAGGAGTTGTCTTTGAATACACACATTAAAAAAAAAAAAGAGTTTATCATAAACATAATAGAAAAAGTTTATCGTTCCTAAACATTTCTTTTGATTGTTGTGAACAATATGCGTATTGCCTTGATGAAACTTTCAATATATGAGTTCATCTTGGAGAACTCTCAGCATTCATCAATATTGATTGTGTTTCGTATATTAATTTTCTTTTTACTGAAACTTATATCGCGCAATACGAAAACAGATTGCCTTTCTATGTATACATGCGCGGTAGGGTTAGGATTTTAGAAGAAGAGAAGAAGAAGATCGAGAAGAGAAAGAGCGAACAAGAGAGAAGAGTTGTCCAACAATTATCTATCCATTTTCTATTTTTTTGTATTTTTTGTATATATTCTCAATGTCTAAGTAACAACCGAATTTAAAATGCAAGGCACAAATTAATAAACGATCTCAGCCCATTAAGAAATCAGCAAATCGTTTGGGCCTCAAAATACTCCTCTTGGGCTTGTTGTCTATGATGACTTTAGGAATTGGGTCTTGTAGCCCATTTAGGTTCAATACACCCCTCTCTCCCCTTGAGACACAACATCGTCCGCAATGTGTGACTATTGAGTAGGACCAATCAGGGAGTTTGGGCAAGGCTGACACAGATTGCCATCTGAACCGTTGGATGAAGAAGGAGCCAGATCTTTATGCTAAACAGCTGGGTGGCACTTTGGTAGGGTAAGTGAAGGGTTGTGACAACTGATGTTCGGTGAGTCCGCCACGTGGTCTGATGGGATGGTGTTGGCTACATCGTGTGGTTTGAAAAGCTCTTTGTCTTTGGGAACAAAAGTTGTGTTTTGTAAATGGAGTGGGGATGGTAAAGGAGGCGTTGGTTGGGAGTGACATCAGGAGAGGCCATTTGAGGGGTGGCTGAAGCGGTGTTAGGTTTAGGGTTCAAACCCAGTGAAAGATTCGAACTTTGAGCAGTTGCTGACTTCCTGGTACCTTTAGGTTTCCCAGCTACTAGATCCATAATCGTGAATTCATCCTCCCATGTGCAATCTTCCAGTGGTAAGCCCTCCCATTTAACCAACACTTGAGGAATCTCTTGCCCTTGTCGCCAGATCAAGCGATTTCCAACCACCGCTTGAGGATAATGGATGGGAGGTCCATCCAAGGCCGTAAGTGGTGCCGGTGGACGGGGTAATTTGAAATCTGCATGAAAGGGTCTTAAAAGTGAGACGTGAAACACATTGTGTATTCGAGAAGTCTTCGGTAATTGAAGACGATAGAAAACTTGGCCAATCATTTCGAGGATCTGATAAGGGCCATAAAATCGTTGTGCTAGTTTCTGCGACGAACGGCGAGCCACAGATAATTGTCTATGAGGTTGTAGACGCAACAAAACCCAGTCACCTACTTTAAAAAATTTCTCTTTTCTCTTTTTATATGCAAATGCCTTCATCGCGTTCTGTGATTTGAACAGGTTGTCCCGTAAGGTGCATAAGATGTGCTCTCTGGTGGATAAATCTGAGCCAATGGCATCCACTGTTGAAGATCCGAGGGTATAAGCCAGCAAGTTAGGTGGTTTGTGGCCAAAAGTGATTTCAAAGGGAGTCATTCCTGTAGAGCGATTGAACGCTGTATTGAAATGGAATTCTGCCAAACTCATGTATTTTGACCATAGTTTTGGGTGATTGTGAGTGAATGCTCTGAGATATTATTGAATGCATTTGTTAACTCTCTTAGTTTGCCCATCTGTTTGTGGGTGATACGCTGTGTTATAATGCAGGGATGTGCCTTGGAGTTGAAATAAGGTCCTCCAGAAGGTACTAAAGAACAGGGGGTCTCGGTCAGAAATGATTGTACGAGGGAAGCCATGCAATCTCCCCACTGATTCCCAGAAGATTTTGGCAACGTGAGTAGCTGTGTAGTTTGTGGTTAATGCAGTGAAATGTCCCCTTTTTGAGAATCTGTCGACCACAACAAGGACGGCAGTAAAGCCATTAGATTTGGGTAGGTGTGTGATAAAATCCATGGATAGATCAGTCCATAAGGAATTAGGTGGAGTAATGGGTTGAAGTAGGCCGTAAGGGGAATGGTTTTGGGGTTTAATTTTCTGGCAAACTGAGCAATTTTTAACAAATTCCTTAATGTCTGTTCTGATTCCTTTCCAGGTGAAGGAGCATGTGATACGTTGAAATGTAGCATTAAAACCAGAGTGGCCTCCTTGAGGAGAAGACTGCAACTCTTGTAGTAGTCGCGGAATCAAGCTTAAACCTGCGGTTAGATAAATACGATTATTGAAGAGGAGCAATTTGCCCTAGATTCTCCACTTAGGCCAGGAATTAGGATCCCTTTGTATATCTTGTATAATCTGAGTAGCATGTATATCCTTCTGTAACTCCATATGTATTATGTCAGAATAATGTGAAGTAGGCCATGATATAACAGATAACTGGGAGAATTGGGAAGGTGGCATCCTTTCTGGCTGTCTGGAAAGGGCATCTGCCACAATGTTGGCTTTCCCAGATTTATATTGAATCATAAAATTGAACCCCAATAACTTGGCCAAAAAAAGTTGTTGTTCCGGGGTTTGCACTACTTGAGACATAAGATGGTGTAAGATGCGATGATCCGTTCGGATGATAAAATGAGAGCCTAGTAAATACTGTCTCCATTTAGCAACTGCAGCTGAAATAGCAAACATTTACCTCACATAATTGGATTTATTTCTCATTGTAGGGGATAGTTTCTTGCTAAAAAACGCTATTGGGTGATTGTTCTAGAGAAGAACAGTGCCCACACCCATGCCTGAAGCGTCAGTTTCTAGAACAAAAGGGGTAGAAAAATCTGCTAGAGCCAGAATATGAGCGTTCGTCATTAGTGCTTTCAGCTTTTGAAAAGCCTCGTTTGCTGCTGTTGACCATGTAAAACCTGACTTGCTTAATAAGTCTGATAATGGAGCAGCCACCAGAGCATAATTTTTAATGAAACGCCTGTAGTATCCTGATAGGCCCAAAAATGCTCTGATGTGTGTTTGAGAGGTGGGAACAACCCAGTCTGTGATGGCTTGGATCTTCTGTGGGTCAGGAGCAACCCCACTGCCTGATATAATATGTCTAAGGAATTGAATCGATGGTACAACAAAAGAGCACTTGGACATCTTTGCATATAGGGAATGACTGCGCAGCTTTTGTAGAACTTGTTATAAATGATGAATATGGTCCTGTAAATTTGCACTATATACCAAAATATCATCAAAGAAAATAACTATAAAGCGGCGAAGAAATTCAGAAAAAACCTCATTCATAGTGGCCTGAAAGGTAGAGGGTGCATTAGAGAGGCCAAATGACATAACTACAAACTCATAGTGGCCTTGGTGTGTTCTAAATGCAGTCTTATGGATATCTATCGGATCCATGAGAATTTGATGATAACTGGAACGTAAGTCCAATTTGGAAAAAATTGTAGCACCATGTAGCTCATATAATAACTCATCAATCGTGGGTATTGTAAATTTGACTTTAAGTGTCACCGCATTTAAGGCCCTGTAGTCCACACAAAAACGTCAGGTCCCATCTTTCTTTTTGACCAGTAAAACTGGAGAACTAAAGGATGATTGACTGGCTCTAATCAATCCATCTGCAAACATTTCTCTAACCAACCTTTCAATCTCATTTTTTTTTGGAAATGGGGGTATCTTTAAGGTCGCACTTGAATGGGTTTAGTACCTGGTTGAAGTACAATTTTGTGGTTGTATTTGCGGTCAGGTGGAAGTGAGGGAGGTGGAAGGAAAACCTCTGTGAAATCATGTAATATTTGTTGAATGACTGGGTCAGGAAGGTGTTTGGTATTGGGTTGGTTGGCCATGTTAAACAGAGGGTCATTGTTGGCAGTCACTGTAGTGGTAAAACACATATGGCAAGAAGAAACCGAATCATGGGCCACTAGGCGGTGTAATTGGGCTGGGGATATGGCTTCAGGGTCCAATGACAGAGCTCCTTGTAAAAGGATGGGTGATTTTCCACGAATGAAAGACATAGTGAGTTGTTTATAATCAGTGATAATTGGGCCCAATGTGGCTAACCATTGTACCCCCAATACAATGTTAGCTCCTTTTAAGTCAATCACAAATAAATCAACTGAGAAAGGTGCTATTTGTAATAATAATGGGACTTATGAACACTTCGCTTAACACAATAAAGTGTCTCCATTACCCACTTGCACAGTGAAGGGAGGAATGGCCTGGAGGGTTAAGTGAAGGAAAGTATCCATTCTTGGTGTAATGAAATTACGAGTGCTGCCTCCATCAATGAGTACTTGGAGTGAGTGACCAGAAATAGTTCCTTGAAAGCGAAATGACTGAGAGTTATGGTGGCTAAAAAGAGCATTTTAACTAATTTCTGGAAGTGAAGTCGTTTGTTCCATTGATTCCGTGGTGAGGTTGCCACTGTCATCAATGTCAGTGTCAAAAGGTTCCATTTCATTACCTTCCATATACAACAGAGCAGGTTTATTTTTACACTTGTGGCCAAACATATATTTCTCTTCACAATTGAAACAGAGGTTTTTATCCCTCTTGGCTTGAATTTCTGCCAAACTTAGTCTTTTGATGGGTATTGCTGCAATTGGCGTGGTCAATGAGGTTGAAGTGATAGATGCTGGTAAGGCTGGTTGTTGGGTGGACGGATTGTTTCGAGAGAACCACGATTTGGAAGGGCGTTCCAAATTAATTTGGTCTTCATAAACCCTAGCCAACGCAAATGCTTGGTGAACATCAATTGGTCTATGAGGGATAATAGAGCTACGGATACGGGGTTTTATACTAGAAATAAACATGCTCTTAGTAAAGGCAGGGGACAGACCTGGGACGCAGCTGGACAAACGCTCAAAGGATACCTGATAGTCTTGTACCTTAGAAGTTTGTTGGAGCTTGCAAGAAAGGAAGTTGTGTCCTCAAACTCAGTAGGGCCAAAACGTTGATGAATAGCTAGGATGAAGGAATTCCATGTTATGATAAGACCATCTCGTGACATTCCTTGACACCAACTAGTAGCTGGATCACCTAGATGGAAGGAAGTCAAGAGAAGTTTATCCGGTTCCAGGGTTTGGTAGAACAGAAAATATCTCTCCACTGCAAACAACCAGCGATTAGGATCACCAGAAGAGAATCATGGTAGATCCAGTCTAGGAGTACGTCCTCCTAGGCCAGGGCCCAGAATTCCATGTGGACGTCCATACTGATGAACTATACCATTGTTTGGATGTTGCTGAAAATGGCGTTCCTGATCTGCTCTCATATCATCAAAACACTCATTATGTTGTTCCCCAATAGCATTGAAGCGACGGTCGTGAGCTACTTCCCATGCTGTGAACTGTTGAGTCGTTGTGTTTTCTGATGTATGGATTCTGTTCTCCGCGGCTTGAAGCTGCTGGTGGAGATCGTTGATTTGGTTTTGTATATCTCTCATCCTTGTGTTGTCAGCCATATGAGGAGATGCAACAATGAAAGCACCAGATTGCAGGGTTAGGGTTTTAGAAGAAGATCGAGAAGAGAAAGAGAGAACAAGAGAGAAGAGTTATCCAACAATTTTCTATCCATTTTCTATTCTTTGTATTTTTCGTATATATTCTCAATGTCCAAGTAACAACTGAATTTAAAATGCAAGGCACAAATTAATAAACGGTCTCAGCCCATTATGAAATCAGTAAATCGTTTGGGCCTCAAAATACTCCTCTTGAGCTTGTTGTCTATGATGACTTCAGGAATTGAGTCTTGTAGCCCATTTAGGTTCACTACATGCGCCATGTATTGCTTTGTTTCGCCAACCCCAAAGGAGCCAGCAGCCAGCAAAGAAAGTATCACGCCAGTTTTCTACACCATTTGAGATCCAGCCATTTGTTAAATTACTTTCTAGTGTAACTCAGATCTCAAGACATATATAAACAACAAGGAGTTTAATTGCGTCATGCATACAATGAAGGGAGGATCATTTAGCAGTATTAACATAAAAAGCATGAAGATCAGGGGTTCAAACTTATAGTTCCAACTTACCTTACTACTACTCGGAAATAATCAAGTTTTCAAAAGTACTAACAACAATGTTATAATAGTGAAAATAATCTAGAATCCAAATTTGGAGTAGTATTTGGTAGGTTAAAGTTTTGATCACTCAACGCATACGCAATTCAATATGTCAAGGTGACCAATAAGGAAAACGATATGAACATGTTGTGCAAGTAAGTTGTTTAAGCAAACACTCGATGTGCAACAACATGACATAGACTCTTGGCCAATATAAATCATTTTGCCTAGACCAAGTTTTATTACACGAGGACTATAATGACTCTAACTGGTAAATCTTAGTTAAAGATTTAATTTAAGGATTTAAATGTCATAATTAGATTGATGATGTAATTTTGAGTGTTTCAACTGTTATCATGACTAGGTCAGGAACAATGACTTATGCCGGGTATTTTGCACTGTTGTGTAGCAATTGGTAGAGCTCGAAAATGAGCATAATGATGTTAGAGACCTATTTTGAAAATTCTGATGTCAAGTATGAGTTTAGAACAAAATATTGAGTAGTTTGGCACTTTTTGTGAAAATCTCGTATATAATGAGCCTCACTGTTAAATCTTTATTACATATATTTAATTTGATGATTT